ATACAAAGGACCCGAGTTTTAATTCATAAACGATATGTTTGTCATAAACTGTTTCTAAACAAAAGTCTTATAGCATCGAAGGACCAGTGTAGCTGTTTACATTATTAAAAAAAAGATTCAAGATTTAATTTTCTATGCCTTGCCAAGTGTATTTTTTACAATTATACTTAGGATTATAATTAAAAGGATATTTTTACATATTATTTCGGCTTAAAATAAAATTATTCAGGTTAAACCAAGATTATTTTAAAATAAAATATTCCATCCATAATCGTACTTATTTTCTGAAGGTTTCCGTTAACAGCTTTCACAAAAAATAACTTTTAAAGACTAAGTAACGATTGATTACATTTTGACATGCAGTATCAACTCAAATAACTGAAATAATAAAATAAGACCATATGTATGGAAGCTATTATTGTATAATTACACCTGTGTATTAAAAAAAACACATTTAACACACTAAATGGCATACAAATACAAATACAAAAAAAAAACATCTAAATCAACAAGTAATTTATGTCAGTTTGCAATCTGGCAATCCCATGATATTTTATCAAATTATATGATTTAATACTTTTTTAAACACACAACAATTATATCACACATATTTTGAAATATTGTGGCCAATAAAGTGGTTTTTAAAAGTGTTTACTGTAGTGTAATCAATTAGTGTCAATTGCTAGTGAGCAATGGACACTAATTTTGACATTAATTGAAATAGGCTACACTAATTGCTATCATAATACCTATATTGTTCACACGTTTTTATAGACATACATTATTATTTATAACTGGTGATTTAGAGTCCACTATGGTGATGAATATTGTACATATTTGTTATAAATATTATAGGAAATTTTCTACTGCATGTTATATTATAATGTTTCATTACCTTCTGTCCCTTGAAGTTTTTTGGTTATATTCACTAGATCTACAATATAATAAGAAGCTACGCCTGGACCCAGACGGACCTCAGGTAAAATTCTCGTGGTATTTTGCTCAATAATATAAACAGGCGCTTCTCGGAGATTTCATATCCAAACAGATTTTTTTTAAATATATTTCATGTTTTCTTTCCACATAAGCTTGAATAAGTTTATACTTTTATAATAAACTTACTGCTATTGTCTACGAACTTAATTGAAACTTTAAATAAATACTCTTGATTTAATTATATAAAGGGGTATTTATTTTAGTGGTTTGTAAGTTAACCACTTATTTAAATTATTTAAATAATAATCTTACTATCAATCTGCACTTAAAAATGCTTGTTTTTAAGCAGGCACTGTATGTTAAAATCTTATACAAATATTTCTCATCATATCTTTATCAACAGCCTTTAATAGTCCACTGCTGGACATGAGCCTCTCCTTAGAAAGGTGGTTTCGGCCTACTATACCACGATGGCAAGAGGAGTTCTTATAGGGTTTGTGTCAAAGTTTCCTTCTCTCTGTAGTGCTGTTGTCTTGCACAGTTTGTTACGTTAGTCGGCTCTAATGACACCGATGCATGGGATGAATAGGGGTGGTGACACTCCGTATTCTTAAGCGGTTACCTCAAGGATAGTTGATTGATTTGGCAATCATTTATAAATTAAACATTTATCTAAAAGGCTTTTCGATAAATGTTGGCGTCGGAAGGTAAAAGTCCGTGTGGTGAAGAATAAATAATAGAATACGGAGCGTCGCCACCCATATTCCGCGTGAGTGTCGTAAGAGCCGACTAACGTAACAAACTACGCAAGACAATAGAACTGCAGAGAGAAGGAAACTTTGACACAAACCCTATACCAACTCCTCTGGCCAGCGTGGTATAGTATGCCAAAACCTCCTTTTTAAGGAGAGGCCTACGTCCAGCAGTGGACTACTAAAGGCTTTTGATGATGGTGATAAAAAGGCTTTTCACAATTTTTCAATGGCTTTCTTAACGCTACCGAGAAAACCAACTAAATCAAAAACCAATTATCTATTGCAAGAGTCAAAGATTTATATTAAAAGACCCTATATTCTGTCAGAAAACAAAAGACGCGTCTGTTTACCAGGGATCAAGAGGAGGCTGCTCGTCTGCCCCCTTTTACATAACAAAAAAAAAAAAGTTCAAAATAAGAAAAACTTTAAAATGTAGTTCAACATCTTAAAGTTGTTTTGTTTATACGATTTACAAAAGTCTCTTAAAGTTTGGTATATATTTACCGAACTTTAAGAGACAGCAGAAAAGGCGTATGTGACACAGTCCTTTTTTTATTGTTTAAGTGATATTGTATAATCAGTTGCTCGTTTGTCTTTATGGGTTATTTACTTTAAGAATGACGTGGCCTTTGATTATCTTCATCTCGTTTGGGTAATATAACGATATAAAATAATTAAATCCCAGAGAGATTTTTAGCAGTTATCTAGTCAAGTTTATTACATTCAGTTATACCAGCTTAATAAAATTCTCGTGTTGGCGCTTGAAATAATGAGGGAAAGCTCTTATTTTTAAATTAAACGAGGACACAAACGAATGAAAAAATGTTCAAATAAATAAACATTCGAGCTTCATCATCAGACCATCATTGACATGTCCAATCTCTTCAATAGTTCCAAATGTACCTGATGCGAGCCTAAACTCGAATAAAAGATTAATTAATACTCATCGCTACTTTCTACGAACAACTTGTAATGTGATCATGGAAATTATATAAGATGATCTCAAGAAATATCATAGAACAATATACGCCGTGACTAAAAGCAGCCAGAAGCAGTAAAAATAAACCTATAACCAGCGTTATTCTTTCTTGATTTTGTTGGAGTTTTGTGATTTACTTATAATTCTATTAGCATTATTACTTAGTGAATTAATGTACTCACCTATTCTGTACATTTACCTACTAAAATTTGTCCTAAATGCAGATTGTATAAATGAAGTCATAATAAGAATTAGTCTATTTGTTTCTCCAGAAACCATACGACTCGAATACAGACTCCCCTTCACTGCAGTCAGTCAAAAAGGTCTTGAAGCAGCTAACGATAACAACATGCAGAGCAAAATCAGTAAGTAACAGTTACTCTAAACGAAGGTCTCAAAATTTGTATTTCTATTAAAGATATGTATGGAAGATGTCGGTAATTCAGTTATACTTACAACAATATTAAGCAAGCTTTTTTAAAATTAATATTAAATTCTAATTTTACATTTTACCTTACAGTAGTGTAATGTAAAATGTACAGTAGGATTTTTTCAGTAGCAAAATCAGAGAAACTTGAAGCGTACTGAAGAGACCAATCCCTTTAATGATGCACCTAAAATATAACCGACAATCTATAAGCATAACTTTTCAGTTTTACTTAATTTAAATTCAGTCACAACCACACAAAGAAAAGGCACAAATGACCTTTATTAAAAAAATCTAAAGCCGTAAAACTCTCATCAACGTTAAAATAAAAGATTAATAGATATCAAACGATTACATTGAGTTGGAACAGCTTACTACGAATTTCAGTTCATATCAATAATCAACTCTATCCAATTGCAGTAAGAGTTAAAATATTAAAATACTAAATTGCAGTTGCATTAGAAGTCTATAATAATGGTCATAGGATAGTGGCGCGTGCCACTACACAAAAGCTAAAGGGCACGCAGCTGGCGTGGGTGTAGCACACACACATACACTCACACCAATGTACGTATAAACTTGATTGGTAAAAAAAAAGTAAATTATATAATATTTCTGTCTCTTAACTTTAAACGTTGAAACGAAATGATATTAAAAGTTTTAAAAGTAAATTAATGTTTTTCACACTGGCATTAAAATAATTCATGTGGTCCTTAACCCTGTGAGAAGTATACATTATGTTTATAGAATATTGAAAGATTTAATTTAAGTTAGATTGACACATAATATATTAGGATATAAGACATTGATTGCAGCAATATCAAAAAACTAAACTCAGGTTATAACTTGCTTACGTAAGACACACTTTATTTATATTACTTAGTATTGCAACATGTAGTAGGGTAAATCATTAGGACTTACTAATGATTTAGCCTTCTACTGCCGACCCTAAGAGACTAGACTTATAAAATTCGAATTGCCAGTGAAGCACGCAAATGGTTTGAGCTCGACTCTTATGTATGTGTGTAGCAACTTGATGGTGTGTGAATTATATGAATATAAAAGCATCTGTAGGTATTCATGTAACATACACACACACGTAAAGGCACAGCTATAGTTGGGTGCGACACCCCATGAAAAATTATATTGTCCTCTATGTTGTTCAGGTTTTGGGACATCGTCAGGATTCAGTTTTAAAACAGTTTTATTATTATTTTTTGTATGTGACAGTAAATCTCTACAAATAAGTTTTTTTAATAGCTTTAAGTTTGGTATAACTATGTGAACACTTATATATTTATAATGTTAATTAATGTTATCAGATAGCACATATTATTTAATAAAAATAATAATAATTGGTTATACACACTTCAATAGGCCGTGTACGTACACAAATACATAAAAATTAACATTGTATATGTATACAGCTAATTGCTAAGAGCAATCATGTTTATTTATCTATAAAATTTACATTATTATTAATGTTACGAAATAATACACTAGCCATTATAAAGAAGCACGATTGTTTTTTACACCTTTATTTTTGAGTTCACCTTTGGTTTTTCAATATAGTTTTAATGTGGTGCAATTTTATTCTAAAGGGACGTAGTCTAACATTAGAAATCCTTGAACGCAAACGCTTCCCCATTCCGCCCCTCGAAAGAGCATGTGTGTAACTAGTAATCGTAAGTACCCCTGTTGATCCCCCCGCAAGCTACCCCAGGTGCGTCCGCGCGGCACGCGCCATTCTTGTCGCGGCCGGCGCTCTGACGCCATCATAACATTCCACCTTCCAGAAAACGGCACTTTTATTCTTTCTACGTGATCCAATCTGAAATCAAGTCCGCAACTAATGAAAGTTAAACAGTCATAACATGTGAAAACGGCAACTCATCTTGCTGAAATGAGTTCTATCGGTGTCGTGGTGTTCCGCAACTCGCCACTCGGCAAAGTGCAGGTGCTTCAAGAATCCGTGAATAATTCTGTGAACATAACCAATAATGATGGCAATCAAAACACTCCTCGTGAAATTATAATTGTGAGAAAAAAGCAGAAGCTACAACCTTCTCCAACAACAGTGTCAGTGACTTCGTTAGTTAGAGCTGCCGAGCCTCTCTCATCTAATGTTATTTCCAAGAAAACTCGGCTTCGAGAAAATAGTACAGAAGAAGCAGTGCGGGCTCCAACTCCGCTCGCGGTTGCTCGAAGAAATGCGCGCGAAAGAAATAGAGTGCGTCAAGTAAATGATGGATTCGCAGCACTCCGCAGACATATACCAGACGAAGTAGCTGCTGTTTTCGAAAACGCTAATTCAAACAGGGGCCCTAACAAAAAGCTAAGCAAAGTAGAGACTTTGCGCATGGCTGTGGAATACATCAGAAATTTAGAAAATTTGTTGAATATTGGTCATGCTGATAAAGAAAATACTTCACGTCCTACGATGGAATCATTTCCTTCTCCAGCTTCTTCTTCGCCAAGAGGAAACAGCCAAGAAAGGAGCTATTTTTCATTGAATTCTCCCGCAGTTGAAGATGATGACATGGAAGAAGATGAACTAGACGGATCTCTTCATCTTCCTCATCAGCGGTATGTAGAAATACAAGCCACAGAATCGTTCCAGTTGGTAGCTACTCCACATTTATATGACGAAGAAGAACACGGTACACAGCCTTTAACACCATCTCCGGATCTTCTAGGACATGACGAAGTTAATTCCCATTTACTGGATGGCCATTTTACATTTCCAAGTTCAGCCGAACAGTTTACAGTAATTCCAGATCGCAATTACCTGAGTGAAAACGACGTACTAGTGAATGAGAGTGATTTTGAAGTTAAATATTCTGAAACAATTAACCAACAATTGCATCACAGTTTCAATGAGGAGGCAAGTCTTCCATTGGTTACTATTGATTCTGACCTTATAGGAGTGCATAATGACTATAAATTCAAAGACGAAGACAATACATTTGTTCAAACCCAATATACTGATGATTTAGAACTAAAAAAAGAGTTACCTGATATTCAGGTCACACCTGAAGATCGTGAAGAGTTTGAAGAAACCTTAAAATGGTGGCAAGAGAAAACTAGACGAGCCCGTCCTTTAACTAACATCAATAAATAAGTTTAGGATATACAGCATAAATTTAATTTGTAATGTCCGCTTATGTACGTAGTTCGGAAAAGATAAACACTTATAAGTCTATATATTTATTGCGATAGTACTATATATATAGTACTATAGCGTGAAACATACAGCTGTTAGTACCAAAGTCAGTTGACAGCGCGGGCGCAAGGTGTACCGTAACGGTCGGACATGCCTGCACTTTAAGCTTTGTATATTTATTGTATAATGTATTAATAATTTAGTAATTTTCATGTAGATCAATTAAAAAAAAGAACCACCCAAAGTGGCTACGATTTAGAAAAAATGATCGTTTTTAGCAAAATGATTGTAAATACGTATGTACCTAAAGGCACCTTCTTATACAAAATAAATTAGTTAACTTAGTGCCTTCTATACTAGAAACATTGTGATGTTAGATTGTAGGTATTTTATGACAATAAATATATTTCAATTTGTATTTTTTTTCTTTTTCTTCACTAAAACACCATAAAATGTATAAATTACAGAATTTCCAAATTAGACAGTGTATTTTTTTTATTAACATCAATGAAACGAAATTACAAAATCCACGAGTGCTCTAATTTTAAGAATAAACAATAAAGTTAGTAATTTAAGTCTAACAAATTCCGCCTTTAAATTTATGGAATAGATCCCTAATAATTCAATTGTTTATTATTTAAGTGGATCCATTAATGACACGTACCCTAATACTGGTAACTGAGACAAAGACCCCTATGCTAATGCACCAAATCATTCCGCAGTAAATGACCTACTTAATCAGGATTAAATATTTTATACCGCCAGGGTAAGCGGCCCCATATTAGCCAAACTTTTTAACTAAAGTTTAAAACTGTGTATTATGTAAAAGATTCTTCTTTTCGTTTTATTAAACTACATGTTTGATTGTTATACTGTTAACTATAGTTTGTATAGCTTTTAATCATAAATCTAAAATATTAATAGTTATATATTAACAGTAATAACCGCTGTCCTATTAATATTTTTATTAACATTTTCGTCAAAATTCACTTTTTTAAGAAATTTATAATATAGATGCTTCTAAATTAAACTTTAGTTAATAATTCGTGAATATTATTGGTAGAATCGATCCAAGACTTCGAGCCGTTAACGGTAAGGCGATAGCGCTATTATAATTGTAATGCGCCGCCGTTATCCCCTGTAAAAAATAACCCGATTCCGAGGGAGAGTCGACGAGAATGGTTACGATTTAAGGGTCGACTTTTGAGATTTAATTTAAATTGTACGTAGCTGGATTGAGGGTTTTACAAAACGAGCTATCCCAACGGTCATATTACTTATAAGATGAATGTCAAAAGCAGTTCAAAGACTACCAAATTTTTCTATGCAGTTTAGGTTACGTAACAATATTGTTATATACTAACTTATAATTTTTCGTTCTTTGATTTATAATTTATTAGTTTGAGTGTTAGTATGATGTTAGCAGGTTGCACTGGCTGTGTTCACAGAGGCAGAGTAAATTCTAGTAATGTAAATTCGAAAAAAAACTTCAGGCAAATGCGTTCAGAAGCAATTTAATACCCTAACTACTTCAATGTTTATAGTGGGTATAAAGAGCTACCGACAAAAGATAAAAAGATCAAAACACAAAAAAAAAACCCTTTAAATTCTAGTCAGGTGCTATACACATTTTACATTTTTAATAATTCCATTTTCTTAAACAAGTTTATGAATTAAAATATTATTATAATATATTGAGGTAAAATTGCGGAAGCGTTGTCATTGATACATGACAAGATGGATTTTAAACTATTTCAAAGTTTGTACACATTCGAGTTCCTATTTCTTACTTCGTTACGCACGCTCGAAATTTCCGGGGTGTAATTTAAATTTCTCCTTCAGTTTTTTTTAATCGGAATATTGCCATATTTTACAGGGTTGTTGCACGCTATTTTGACTTCCATTTAAATATTTTCCGCTTCATTCGTCAGGCACTGTTTCAAATGATTAAAGTTTTTGTTACACTTGGATGGATATTGATCATATTTAGTGATGACTAAGGTCCTGATACTATGTTAGGAAAAATTACGTTTAGAAATTGTGTAAGGAGCTGTAAATCAGCTCCTTGTAGACTATATCCCAAACCATTAAATGAAAGACATTATACGTATGCGTAGTGTTTATAATTTTTTCCGTTATCCATAAATACATGAAAATGTTTTGTTCAGTCTTTCGATTAATTTTGCTACTAATTTAAATGATATTTTTTCAGTAAGTCAAACAAAAGCAATAATCCCAATCTATATTTACGTTCACATGTCATGATAACATTAAAATAATAACACTTTACTAGCAAAGAGCAGAAGAAACAAGTTTTTATTGAAGAAAGTTAGCAGACAAGTTTCATAATGTCATCGAACTATTTTGGTAATCGTATTTATTTTTAGAACGATGGTCTCGATTTCATTTCGTAATATAAATATAATTAAAAAATGGTCAGGATGTATTACTTTAGGAGCACAATCGTAGTGATGAAGTTCTCAAAATGAACAGAAGATTTTTAAATACGTTCCGGAAAACTGAGTCTGAGTCAACATATTTTTTTATTATGGTACAATAGCATAACACAATAACAATCTAATGTAGAGTGGATATAGATAAAAATAGATTGGTGGAACGTTTATTAATCAACAAGTTTGAGTGACTATTTTGACTCTAATATTAGCTAAAGTCAAAGCTACCAGAATCTTCAACAAGACGGTTGGAAAAAAGACCTTATGCACATGCCAGTAATCATCACTATGTACAAGTAGTTCGTTTTTGTACGTTACTTTTCGTACTATAAGTATGGTCCATATAAAAAGGAAGCATTTTACAAGTGTAGGTTTCTGTAGCAGGATCTCAAAAACTCTTATGTATCTCTCCTCCTGCATCCTCTTACGTTGATACGTTATTATCGTTAAGTTGAAGTGCAGTAGTACAGAGGTTTGAGCACTTGTTTAGGTTTATCTGTGCAGATTATTATTCCACTTCAAATGGTTAAGTTTTACTGTTAGCTCTTGATGGGGTAGGTAATAAAAGTACATTTATTATAACAACAAGTATATTTATTTTAAAAAATCTACGGGATATAATAGTTGAATTAGTGAAAAAAATTATTCAAATAACTTTTACCCGTAAGGTGAATAAATTACACCATAGTTATAATACAAACGGCATACCACTTGGCCACGTATACGCTATCAGAGATTTAGATTTAGTACTTGACTCAAAACTAACTTTTGTTACCCACAGAGATACTGTAGTAAAAAAGGCGTCAAAATTTTTAGGTTTAATATATATATATATCTCACACACTCACACACGGCCGTCTGATCCCAAACTAGGCAGAGCCTGTACTATGGTAACCAGACCGCTGATAAACATACTTATATATTTCTAAATACATACATATTATAGATAAATTACACCCAGAATTAGAATTTCCTTATTAGAAATATCAAATCAAACTAAAAATGTTCAGTATTGTAGTCTCAGAAGAAGCATACTTGAGTATTGTGTTGTAGCTTGGCGTCCTCACTATGCTACACATAGCCTAAGAATTGAATGAATCTAAAAGCGTTTCTTAAACCATCTTGCCTACAACCAAGCTACTTGAAACGCCTCAAATATTTCAAAATTGACTCATAAGAAAAATACAAGATCTCATCTGATTTGTTATTTTTACTTTCAAAATTTAAGTTCAATACCCCTCACAAATATCCTAGAAAACCAATGATACTCCTACATCCTCCTTTTCGAAAGCCAGTTTAGGTTCTAAATCATGGCTAAGCAAGAAATGCAATCACTACAGTAAACAGATATTATTGTCACAACATTTCAACGATTTAAGAGCGAGTCCATAATTTTACTGTCGATTAGCCATGTACTAACTGCTGTTCTATTTAGAGATAGGTTAATACCTATCTTTAATATTAGGTTAAAGATTTTGCAACATTTGTTCCATTGCTTTTTCGACAACCTCTGTCAATAGGTTCATAAGGTACATAAGTTGTGCACTTAGATTAAGGTTAAAACTATGTTCTATTTTTACGAATGTTTTTTGTGTAATAATTACCAGCAAAATGGTGAACAAATAAATAAATAAACATAAACAAGATGGGCTTTTTAATATTTATTTTAATGTTTCATTCTGTTAAAATTAAATACAAAAATAAAATATTTAATCAGGTTTTCTGCGTGGGAATACTGAGTTCCTTTATACATAACAAAACCTACACGGAAGATACCCTGATCGATGCCGCTTCAAAAAAGTCCGTTACGAGCCGCTATGCCTTTTGTTATCAACGAAATAGAGCGTCCCAAACGTTTTGATATTATTATTACTTTATTGTATCTGTATAGATTTTTAAGATACGAGAAGAAATTGTTGGATATAAAGGATTAAAATATATTACCGCCACGTGTATAAAATTACGCGAAGGCGTAATTGAAATAAATTAATTTAAAATATTTCACCAAGCAGTTGATATTAATTTACGTGTAAGTTTAAGCTCAAATCTATAACAATATAATACAATACATCTTTATCAATGTACATTTTAAATAACCAGTAATAGTAGCTTTAATAAAGTTTTGCAATACACATTTAAATCAGAAGTGATAAATTTAAATTTTGTGCCTTTGAATAATCCCTAGGTCCTATGAAGTCTTACATATAACAAAAGATTTGGTTCTACTTATTTTTAATAAAACTTGTTTATTTAAAAAAACGCATAGTAAATCTGTAAACAAGTATCAAGATTGATTAGTTGTAGTATACGCCAAAGTAAAGTCAAAGAAGCTACCCTATTGTTGTGTAATATTTATTCTTGCTCAGATCTCCACGGAGTCTTTCAGCGAGGTCGACACCATTGTCACAGGGTTCATGGGAACGGGCAAAAAACGGACTTTACCTTTAGGGTTCTACCAAATTCACTAAAGAAACTGAATAAGCACTTTTTCTATGCATAGTTCGC